GAATGTTCAATTCTCGAGGGCAATGCCCTAACGAACACTGCAATGGGAAGCAACAGAAAATAGATAACGGATTTGATATTGGGATTATTGAAAGGATAGCACAGACGACGAATACATCGCGACGATACCAACAGAAGACTGTTTAATGTGTTTAGTACGGGTCATTCACCTGGGTCGGCGTCGAGCTCGAATAGCTGAGCTCGACTTTGTGTACATAAACAGGTGATACTAAGTAAAGACGAGATGATCGACTGGCGATCTAAAATTGATCGATTTGATTTTAGACACATTGGGTTATTTCAAATGGAAATAGCGTAGATCGTGAAACCTATTTTGGATTTACAGTTAAAATGGATTCTAGTGCAAATTATATTAAATATTTATGTTAAATATATTATATATAATATATTATGTTATATATATATCATATATTATATTATATATATATAATATATTATGTTATATATATATCATATATTATATTATAATATAATAATCGAGATTTTACACGGTGTCGCTGGCAAATTTTCATTTAGCGGAGTTTGTTTTATGCTTTAATATAGTATAAATATAAATTAATATGTAATATTATATATAATATTTATATTATAATATTATATTATAATATTTATATTACATATTATAATTTACATTTATATTATAATAAAGCATAAAACAAACTGCGCTAAATGAAAATTTGCCAGCGACACCGTGTAAAATCTCGACAATTGTAAAAACTAATTTCCATTGTCGAGAAGATCGCGGATTACCGAAACGGAAACGAAAAGTTCGGCGACCTTAACGAACTGTCACGAATCCCATTGAATATTCGCTGGTTCTCGCAGCGGACACATTCGACTCATCGAATGAAGATGCGAGCGCGATCCGCTGGACGAAGTTTGTCCTTATAATGGACGACAGCTGAAACCTAGGGGACAGTTACAAACACAAGCAAAGTTTTGTCCGTTATAATTCCACTTCGCGAAGACCATAGCCGGTGCACCGCACCGGGGCCCTCTTCCTCCTCCGCAGCCTGGCTAATCCCACGTCCGCTGCATTCTGCAGTTTTGAAACTTTCCAGCGTTACTGCAATGTCGTAGCTTAAGTGTACCGGCGTAGCGTGGCCTGTATCGTGGTCCACGCCTGTGTCACTATGGATCGACAATTTATTACAGCTTTATTACCCCGCGCTAGTTACGTGTTCATCGTTATTTTGAGGCATTACCTGTCCGTGGATTGGAAACCTACGAAATACTTGCGCGAATTGCGAAACGATTAGCTCTGATACCTGTTACGTAAACGTTATTTTCTGATCGCTGTTCCGTTCTTAGAATAATCGGACGAATGTTCTCAGAAATGTGAGCAGATATCGTTGATCCGTTCTACTAGGATTTCTGCTAAAGTTACGCTGATTAGCACTTTTCCGTCCGAAATATATTCTTACACGAGAAAGAAAATTTATATTGATTTTATATTTAATTATATTTGATCTAAGTTTAAAGTAGTAAATTTTTTATATTTAGTTATATTTCGTTGAAGTTTAAAATAGTAGAGATTTTATATTTAATCACATTGAGTTGAAGTTTAAAGTAGTAAATTCTATATTTAATTATATTTGATCTAAATTTAAAGTAAAAAATTTTATATTTAGTTATATTTAGTTCAAGTTTAAAATAGCAGATTTTACATCTAATTATATTTCGTTGAAATTAAAAATAGTAGATTTTATATTT